CGAATCTTCTCTCCCTGCGGACAATCTAATTTGGCTGGCCGGATTGCTTAAGACCAGGGCGCTACTCTGCAAAATTCCCTAGTTAAATGGGACACTGACAGAGATGTTTATGTAACTAGCATTGGCAGCCATATCCCCTTTAAGTTAAGATAAATTGGTGGATCCCCTAAACTTCCTTTTTCTTAGAGAATTCCATCCCCTTCCCTTTATCTTTTTTTTGGGGAATGCACATGCTGAGGGGATTGGAGCCAGTGGTGATTTTTTTGCTGATATGTCCACTGTTGTGCAAGTGTCGTCGGACGTCAGTGGGTATGTAATTGTTAGAATTGTGCACATGAGCTTTCCATCTTTTTCCGATAGGGTTGAAGAAAAGGGGCTATCTACATATTTACAAAAATTTCACAAGATTTAAAATTAAATTCATCTTAAATATTAAGGTTTTATTTTATATAATAGTATCTTTTTAATTCTGTGAATAATTTTCAAGAATATTTAAAGATATTCGTTTATCATCTGAAGGCAAACAATAAAAATATTTGTGCCAGTGGTAGCCAAATGGTTATGGTAACAAGCTCAGTACCGGCATTTTCAACTCTCGATTCTGAGACCTGGTTCCACTGAAGACCCACCATGTAAAAGAGCTGATGTGCTTTTAATGTGTCGTGGCTGAAAGATCTCACGTTGGTGTGGTGCGGAAGTTAAGAGAGTAGAATGCTGACTCAAGTGTTGTCCTCGTCATTTGCTTCTCTGCACGGAGGGTCTTCAGTGACATCAGGACTCAAACTCGCGATTTGACAACGTCAGCCACGAGTTTGTGACCGCTTATAGGTAGGTAGAGAGAGAAAATATAGATGTAGTAAAATGAAAATAATATAATAAGTAGATATAATAAAATGCAAAAATTCTGGAGACTAAATAAGGGGGGAGAAGACCAGAGGCTGGGTGGTAGCGTATTGTGCTTCCACCCCTCAGGTCCCGGGCTCAAACCTGCAAATCGACCTTTCATCCATTCTGTGGAAACTTAACACTGGGGCTTTCACGTCAGACTATCCACATGACCGGAACATCTGTTTATGCACGTATTGCCCGTGATGAAAACTGATGGGCATAATAGGCCTTGGTCATGATCGGCTGTTGCACTACTGAGTTTAGTCTAAATGAAAAAAAATTTGCTGTGAAGAATGGGATATTTGATCAATTATCCTTTTATTCATGACCCATACTTGTAAAATTACGGAATTAAAGAAACGGCAATCAATTAAAATGTTGGACATTGAAAAAGAAATGTACTCTAAAACTACTTCGTAAAGAAATGTTGGAAATAATTTTTAACAGTGGAGCAGACAAGGAAGAGGTCCCCGAAAACAGACTCTCCGCCCATAGTCCTTGATTTTTTTCAATTGATTATAATCGTGTGTATATATTACGTAAAATTTAATTATGTATGTTATTAATAATAAATTTTATTAATTAACCTGGCCTATTTATTAATTATTTATTCAATAATTAATTTTTATTGTTTTTGTTCCCAAAAAATTCGACAAAATCAAAAGAATATTTTGGATGGTGTATTGGAGTATGATACCAAAATGGAGGATTTTCGACCCCCCTCTTGAAACATTTTTTTTTGTGCTTCACTGATTTATATCGTATTAAATTGTTAAGAAAGTCTTCTTAGATTGCCACGATTCAAAGTTAGTTAAGTGAATGATTATTATGAATTTTATAATGCTAGATAAAAGAACTCTATTGTTGAAATACAATTTAAATTCTTAACTTTTTACTTAAAATTTTTGAATTTCAATATTTTTTTATGAGAGTAAAAATTCATTAATTTATATTCGTGCACGTGCACATATGGGGAATAACGCCTTTACTGCATCTTATATTTGTACAGAGAGAGATGAGATATTGTTTCATCATTCATTAAAAAAAATTCATATAACCATAGTAAAATAATCATCAAAAAAGTAAATCATAAGTAAATACTATTATCTATATTAGATTTTTCTCAAAATTTAATCTTAATCAAAACAATTTTAACATCCAAACGATTTATATAAATTCAGGTCATTTTCAATTCCTACTATTAGCTCACACTCTCTATATATTTATTTATTTATCTTCGTGCATATTTCAATCGTTAATAAAATTCATTTTAAAGCGCTCAATTGAGCTAAAATTTTATATACATGATTATTTTGGATGACAATACAGTAATCTAATTATAATTAATAAAAAAATAATTGATTAAAACTAATTATTCAAAGAATTACAAGTACTGCCACTTTGGCAACATTTTCGGCGACTTGTGTCAAAACATGAAAAGGTTTTTTTTCTCACATTTTAAAGCACTCGTTTGAGCTGAAATTTCCTATATACTACTGTTTTGGGTAAAAATATGATAATTTAATTATAATTAATTAAAATTAATTGACTGAAACTAATTATTTAAAGAATTACAGATACAGCCACGTTGGTTTCATTTTTAGCGAAAACTGGGGGGGTCAAAACTTTAAAAGATTTTTTTTCACGTTTTAAAACATTCAGTTGAACTGAAATTTTATATACACGATTGTTTTGTATGACAATACGATACTTTAATGATAATTAATAAAAATCACTACCATTTAATGTTGTGATTCTGTCATGTATATACATATTTATATTAATTGTAACCTCTTGATAAAAAGTAGCTATAATAAAATTTTTCTTTGCTGATCTAAGTAGAAATTGACTTAATTTTTTTTTATATTACTTGTTTTATTTCATTGATTTAATACATCTGACTCAAATAAAACTTCTTGGAAAAGAATTAAAAAAATCGATATCAAAGTGAATTTTTATAACAACACTCAGTCAGGGGGACGATAAATACCCTTGTAGATTACGTCCCATTCCCGGGAAATCACTTAACTCTTCGAGAAAACGGGAAAAACCGGAGTGGAGTTTTGTCAGCAGTTCCGGGAAGGAGCTTACTCTCACCAGAGCTGTGTCACTTGTGGGGCGGGCTCTGATTTTTCCGTGTCTCACAGGGTCTAACTTGAAATAGATCGACATTCTAATGAAATAAAGATTGCAGCGTCCCGGCCTATTCTGTTTATTCATCGCACCCTCACCCCCCATACATCTTATTAGATAGCTGACATTTGGAATCGTATGGGCGGATATGGATTGGTATTGCGCTTCGTATCAGTGGATGAGTTAGTATTGCTATCTAAGTTGTGTGGACAGTTTTGTAGTTGGGATAGTATTGAAAGAGTCTTGATGGCATTGAAGATTTTAGAGTATGAATATTTTCACCTATATATATATATATATATATATATATATATATATATATATATATATATATATATATATATAGATATATATACACTGTCACTTTTTTTCGTATGTTTGTGATACCCCCCCCTGGGATTATTATCTCTAGGAGTATCAGCGTGAGCTAGAGGCGTAGGATTAACGAAAGAACTAGAAGGAAACATTATCTTAATATGACTTTATTAAGATATTCAACTTAAACCTTTAACAAATTAGATTATAATAATTTATGTGAGAGAATCTACGATGGTAAAACACACCACACACAATATATTTATAATAACGACTTAAGCTAACTCGGACCACTATCAATAACTGAATCGCTTACACTCAATTCTAATACAATCACTGATACTAATATTAAATAATCAATCCTACCTTGTTGTAGTATCAGTAAACGATCACACTAGTTTTAGATGAGGTCTTGCGATAACTCGTGTGCAATGATATGCACCTTGATTAATGGATCTCTTTCGCGTAGAATTACTATTCTTCGCCACGTAACGTTATCTAAAACTTCTTCAATCTAGAACCACGAACTGTTTACATTCCTCTAATTGCCATCACTTGCCACAAATTGCCACCCCGTTTACTCTAACTTCTGATATTTAAAAGGATCTTAATTTGCATCTTTCTTTCACACTTCACTTTTGGACTTGGTTGGAAAAGAGTTGCCATTAATTCTGGCCTCAAAGAACCCAAAGGACATGTTAAAGAAAAGACGCGTGAGCCCGTCACATGTTTACTGTAAACATCTATATTTATTTGTATATTGTAGGGGGGGCTACACTGGGGAAGTGGAGGATACTGGTGGGAGGCACCTTTTTTAAAAATGCTTGCATTCATTTATTAACTTTGTATCTCAGAAAAGATATAAGTTATACCATACCAAAATTAATAAATATGTTAAGGGTACCAGGACATGCTCGATAGATTAAAATGCTCGAGCCCCCGCCCTCTTGTGCGTACCACTGAAGTAGCTCTATTTTTTTTTCAATATATTGTAAGCAAGAAAAAATATTTCAAGTAATCATTTCCGCATTTTATAATTTGTACTTCAATTTAATGTCTCTTCAAAAACAATGATCCTAATCACCTTTTCCTCTAAATTTTACTGAATTTTTATTCCGTCTTTTCTTCTGCACCTTGATGTAAATATCGTTTCCTTCGATGTTGCACATAAACCGATTTTTTCAAAACTCTACTCCTGTGATTTATTACAGTCACTCAGCAAAAAATGCCAATCTTACAGGAAATTGCGTCTGTTTCAGTGCCAATGGCATAGTGGGTGGTATTCTCGATGGAGTTAGTGATGATAGATATTTAGGCGGATAATATAGGATAACAGTTTGGAACCATACTATCGAACTGGACTTACTGCCTTTTTACTCAATTCCTACTCTTAGTTCACACACTCTCTCTATATATTTATATATCTTGTTCAAATTTTCAGTCATTAATAAAATACTTCATTTTCATCCATTCAAGTTCAGATGCATTTTTTAAAACTTGTAGAGGAGGACACTTGATGTTAATACAGTTTTTTCAAATATTAATTCATTAGTTAAACTCAAGTTAAACTTATTTATCTCATTAGTTAAACTTAACGAAAAAATAGTAACAAACACAAAAATAAGAGTCCAATACCAAATACAAAAAGTAAAGCCAATCAATTTCTCCCTATAGTACAATGGATAGCGCGTTGGACTTCTAATCCAAAGTTTGTGGGTTCGAATCCTACTTGGGAGTGACCTAATTTCTGAGAATGGGATTTGTGAATGAATAGATAGTAACAAACAAAACATACAGTCCAACACCAAATATAGAAAGGAAAATCGTTTTCTATTTTGCCACTTAATAATGTGATTCTGTGTGATATGTATAAACATATTTATATTAATTGTAATTTTTTAATAAAAAATAACTAAAATAAAAATTTTTTTGTTAATCTAAGTAGGAATTGACTTAATTTTTTTACTATTACTTGTTAAAATTCTCGTGTGAGAGATATAAATAAATAAATTTATTACATCATCTCACGAATTTTTTTTAATATATAGCGAGAATAAACTTTCACATTAATTAAATTAAAAGCAATAGCAATAAATTAGATGTTTGGTTAATACTTAAAATAATTACGACGAAAGTAAATTTTAAAGTTCATAAAAAGTAAATTCAGGAAAAAATATATACAAAATTTTATGTGCGTAGAGCAACATACGTGACATATAAACTGTGCAGTAAGGTTTTTTTAATATATTTACCTCATTAGTATTATGTTTTAATTATTTATACCTAATTTAAACTCTTTATTTATTAAAAAAACGTTTATCGTATTTATTTTAGAGATAATTTTTAAAAGATAAATGTAAAGTAAAATCGATTTACAAAGAATAAAATATAAAAAATAAAATTAAAAAGTTGACTTCTTAAATTTTCCTTGACGAAAAAAGTATTTTATGATTTATTAGAATACTTAGTATTTTTTAATCAAAATTTTTATAACTTTATTTTATGTGAATAAAATACTTCATTTAAAATTAATACGTTATATGATTTTTAAGAACGTAAGTTTTTTTAAAAAAAATATGTAATCAGCCTGTACCTAACTTTATGGGCAGTTTTAAAGGATGCATTAAATCATTTATTATTTGAAAATAGATTGGGGTGAATTGTTTTCGGATTTCTAAGGAATCGTTTTAGGCAATTTTTGTCTAAATATTGCTATTTTTGGAAATGATCACAGTTTTTTCAATTTGCTGTCCTACTATTCATTTTTTTTTATCCTCTGATTACAATTCCTAATTATTTTTAATGATTTGTTAGGAACTGGATATAATTTTGGTTAGTCACATAATCATCATCTATTTTATTAAATTGTTTGATTGCTTACGATTAAGGCAACAACAAATAAGTCAAATTTTTTAAAAATTATGTTACAGCCAGAATAGAAATACATACACCATAACCATCAAATAATATAAGATTTTCAAATTTTAGATTATATATATGTTTAATTTGAAGGAAGTACATCACATGTTTGATGTATTAAACCATAACTGAACATCAATAATGCCGAAGAAAATTTTTATTAAATGTAAAAAAAAAAATATTACTTATAAAGTTATCACATACACTCATTCGTTTTCTAGTTTCCCCTATTTTGTCCATAAAAAAATACACTGCTGGACAATTGCTAAGGACGGATCACAAATTGCTATGTAGCATAACATTAAGTGAGACATGAGGCCTAGTAGGATAAAATATAGTTGCCACATTGTTCAGACATTAGAATAAAGAATATTTATTGTTCTGGAAAGTACAAAAGCTGTGAAACATCTGAAAGAAAAAAAAATGTTCATTTGATCTGCGTACGGAGAAATGGAACAATGCATCTAAAAGTCAGCAAGCACCTTAAAGAAAGGTATCAGTACGGGATATGTCCACCGTGGAGTGTGATGCAACATTCCACACGTCGTACCATACTTTGCACAACATTATCCAGCAGCTGTTGAGGCAATTTATCCCATTCCTCTGTGAGTGCACGCATGAGGGTGTTCTTGTTTGTCGGAGGATAGTTTCGACCAGCAACTTGCCTCCCCAAAGCATCCCACACATTTTCAATGGGGTTTAGATCTGGAGAACGCGCTGGCCTTACGAGACGTTGAATTCCCTCGCTGTCTAGACAATCCTGAACAGCGAGTGTTCGATGACATGTTGCGTTGTCGTCCATAAAAACAAATTTATCACCGACAGCACCACGGAAAAGACGAACATGAGGAAGTAGAACTTCATCAATGTATCGTTGGCCCGTCATAGTCCCATTCGCAACACCATGTAGGCGCGTGCGGCCATTGATCATGATACCGGCCCACACCATGATACTGCATGTCGGATATCGGTCCTTTTCCTGGATATTTTCTGGACGATAAGCAATACCACTCTCGCGCCAGATCAGTTGGCGTCTACAATTCGATGACAGACTGAACCTACTCTCATCTGAGAATAGTACGCCTGCCCAGTCCTGTTCAGTCCAATTGTGATGCTCACGACACCATTGCAAACGGGCAGTACGGTGCTGTCTGGTCAATGGGGCCCACACAACAGGTCTGCGTGCGTATAGTCCTCCTCCCCTCAAATGTCTGGCAACAGTTTTTCGGGAGATATGCTTTCCTGAGGCAGCAAGAAACTGATTTGCCACCTGCTGAGCTGTGGTGCGCCTGTTCCTTTTTGCTGATAGGACGATATATCTGTCTTCTGCAGGCGTCGTACTTCTAACACGACCTTCCCCGTGCCGTCTACTACACATTCCAGTAGTTTTAAATGACTTCCACAGCCGTGAAACAACGCTGTGAGCGATGTCGAACTCCCTGGCAACATCTGTTATTTTTCGCCCTTCTTCGATCTTTCCAATAATTCGGCCACGCATAAAATCATCTATGTGATGTCGGGAAGACATGCCAAAAACTTCAAGTTCGTCTATTAAATCTTTCCTGTAAAACTTTGACTTGAAACAACAACTGTCCACACGCGTCAAAACCTTTAAAGCTCTTATGAACGCTATCACGTGATGAACAGACGTGGAAAAAAAATTTGCATATACTCATACTTCTTCTTACTAATATCCCGCACTTATTCTAATTTTCCACATTTTGCTTCCTTTTATTTTGTGGTTACTATGGATGATAGTGTTATCCGTCCTTAGCAATTGTCCAGCAGTGTAATAATGGTATAGATTTTCTAAATTTTCATTTTCATTTTCTTTTTGTATATACTTTCTTTTTTTTCAGAAGATCGATATTTTTAAACTAACAGCTGAATCGAGAAATTTCATCTAGAAAATATTAATAGTAATAATTAAAATTAAAGTAGTGTCAAGTATATATATATATATATATATATATATATATATATATATATATATATATATATATATATATATATATGTAATTTAGTATTCTTTTCGTGTTGTGGTTTCTTATGCACCTGATCGACAGTAACGTCAGATCGAGGTCCACGAAACTCATCGTGGTGAAGGGCTAGATTTTTAAGCCTGTCATTTGCCTTAGGCTTGAGCACTATGCAGGTGACAGTACGATTTTGCTCAGTTCACATGAAATCAAACATATAAACTAGTCAGTATGACGCACGCACACAATGATCTTACATATGGCAGGGCAAGTAAATTTGGAACGCCCCATATATATTGTTTACATTATAGTTCCTAAGAAAAATAGCATTGCATGCTACAATTCCACTGTTTTAATTAACAAAATTACAACCAATTACTAATCAATTTTAATTCCATTTTTTGAGAATAACACCATTTTTTGTTTTAAAATTTTTTAAAAAATGTCCCACTTTTCTCAACATTTACAATGTATCAGGAAGTAATATCAAAAATAAAAAAAAATATTCATCGTGCACTTATTACATTGAGCTCTGATGAACGATATGAAACGGGAGTTTCGGGAAATGCCGGAAATCGTGATCCAGTAACAAAAATTCGAAACGACGCCATTTTGGGCTGAAAGCGTTGGAGCAAAATGGGACGTGAAAATAACGTATGCTCCCAGTAATGCCTTTTAAAGCGCACGGTTCACTGAGTGCTTATGGGTGCTTCCTTATATTTTTCACACACACACACACAAAAAGAACAACACTTTTGTTGTGCGTGTGCTTTATTTTTGCATATATGTATCTGCTTCGAATATTTTACATTTAATGTTTTCTTTTCAAAAATAGGGGAAACGCAACTAATGTAAGCTTCCCGTTGAGGCGAAGTGGACTTCAGAGACAAGTGAAGTAAGTTTTATTTAAAAAATAAGTGCGATTGCAGTTTTTTTTTAAAAGAAAAAAAATGTAAAATAAATGGTTTGCTGCTACAAATTTTTGAAAAAAAAAGAAATTATTATAATGTATTAAATTATTTCATTACTTGAAATGTTTCAGTCTCTACAATAAAGGAAATTTTAATAAGAACAGAAGTTTTATTAAAAAATAATAACTTTTCCTAGTAACATGCAGCGTTTTAATGATTATACTCTAAAAAAATGACAGATTTAGAAGGAATTTTATTTTCCTTTTTTGTTATGATTATTTAAATATTTAAACTTTTGTTTTTGAAAGGATATGTTTTTAAAAAATTGTTTTGGTATTATTTTTTCAAATCTTTCCGTCACACAACTTTTTTTTATTACAATTTAAAATATTTCGTAGTAATTTCTTTAAATTAAGCATTAGAGAAACATATTACTAAGTTGTTGAATAGGCGTTTTCTTTTGGGCATCCGGACTGTAACACAGTCCTCAATCCCATGTCTTGATAAAACTTTGATGTGGGGCTTGACGATAGTGTGTTTTTTCATTCTGCTGAGTGGCATGGCGGCAATTGGTTGGACGATAGAATCTGGGAGGACTAAGTTTTTAAAGTGATTAAATATTATTAAAATGTAATGAATTACTTGGGTCCTTTTCAATTTTTTCAGATAAATTTATTAAATTTGAAGGAATATATGTGTAGAAGCTTCATAATTTGTGTTTGCAGTTTATTAAATGAATTTTTTTAAAATTTTTGAAAATGCCATTCTTTAAATATTACACTACGAAATATGAAATGGAACAGCACTGAATTTCAAAATAATGTGCAGGCGCAATTCTTATAACTGGATTTCACTCTTAACGCTGTCTTCACCAAACACACGTGAGCTTAACTAAACGCGGAGCACATTTTTAAACAGAAAAGAACGA